ACAAAGATTGCAGGAGGCTGGGTGCAGAGGTAGCACTGTAGACTGAGAGGTGATCGGAACCCAAGAATTCAGTGGCTATTAGGGGGCTCCTCAGAACTATGGGATTAAGGTCTTGTATGAGATCTGTGTTAAAATGTCAGCTTCACTCCCAAATTTAGCAAGGCTTTATAGGTCTTAGCCTAAACTTTGGCTGAAACTTGTCATCCACTTGGCTTCATTTACAGTCTTTGTTCATTGCTCCAAGGGTGGGGAACCTAAAGCTACCCCTGGCTTGTCTGGATCTGGACCCTAAGGCTTGAGGCTTTCCCCCAGCATTGGGAAGCCTGTGCTGGTGCTCCAGCCCCTCACCACCTCCCTACAAGGCTGGAACACACCAAATCTATGAGTCTGGACTCCCGCCCTCTAGGCTCTGGTGTACAAGGCGAATGTCTTTCCCTTTCTTAGCAGGGGTACACATCAGAGAGGGTTTGGTTTTGGGTTTTTTGGGGTTGTTTTGCTTCTCACTTGTTTGTGGCTCCTGAATGATTTTTCTATGTTTCAGTGGCCCCCAACCCAAAAAAGGTTCCCTGCCCCTGGTTCAAGAGAAGATAAAGCCTCTAACCTAATGACCCATGAGAACCTCCTTATCATAGACCCTAATCAAATCCCATAGTCTCAACCAAGAAAGATGCATCTCACATAGGGTCTTTACTCAAACTTTGGTAATACTATAGTCTCAAATCTTTCACCCTCTTGTGAAACCCAAACTGAGCCTTAGGTATATTTCAAGTTCTCTGCCTCAAACTATATTAACCTCATGGAACTCTCACCCTACACAACTGAGGCTACGTCTACACTGCAGGCTTCTTGTGCAAGAAGCTTTTATCCGAAGAGATCTTCTGCAAAAACGTCCACATTGCAAAAGTGTGTCAAAGAAGCGATGCGCTCTTGTGAAAGAGAATAGACACTCTCTCGAAAGTAAGCACTAATTGGTATGCACAGAATGGCCACGAGGGCATCTGTTGCTTTTTCCTCTTTCCGTGCAAATCCCACCTTTCCCCGTCCACACATGCCTTTTTGCGAAAGAACCCTTTCACAAAAAGGCTTCTTCCTTGTAGAAAGAGGAATACCAATTGTGAAAAAACCCCTCTGTTCTTTCGATTATCTTCCACAAAAATGTGCATGAGGTGTGGACGCTCTGTAAAAAACTGTACACTAAAAAAATGTGTACACTGAAAAACTCTGTAGCGCAGACATAAATGGGTGAAGGGGAAGAAATAAGAACATACAAAGAGGTATAGGATTACAACAAGAGGCAGCATTTATATTTTACATCCACTTTCCAGAAGTTAGAATGCAAACAAGATCCTGGTCCCAACTTCTACACGCTTTGCATGACTTATGCCTTGCAAACTCCAGTTTTTTTTCCTGTAAAACTGTAACTCTGACCTTTTAAAATTATTCTGTGTCCCAAAATCTACTTGCTTATGGGCCTGCCATTATTGGGTTACTGCTTCTCATCTCCATCTGTCAGAAAATGAGAGAAATATAAACTAGGTCAAAAGTTAATTGCTGCTGTTGGGAATGTCTTTTGTCTGCATGCATTTCTGAAAGTGGCTCCCCTGTGGAAGTTGTGAATCTAGTGAAACTGTGTGGGAAGTATGACACTAACCATCAAAGCACAGGCTATAGAGCAGAGCTGGGCAAAAAATAGCCCGTGGGCTGCATCCTGCCCACCACGCCACTGGATCTAGCCCGTGGACACAGCAGGGAACCCCAGACATGCTCCCTGCTTGCCTCTCCCCATCCGCACGCTGCTCAGAAAAGTGGCTGTCGGGCCATTTCTCTTTCAAACTGTGAGCCCAAAGAGGAGGGGGGAAGGCTTCATAAGTGGCCCCTACCCCCACTACAATTACATTGGCCATTTTTTGGCCAGAAATCAGCCACTGGATGCTGGCTGTTTGAATAACAGGCTGCCACAAAGCACCACACCTCCTCCCCTCTGGCTTGTAGTTATTCACACACATGGTCCTGAAGCCTGTGTGAGGACAGGGCATGCAGGCTGGCTGGCTGAGAAACATGCTGGGCTGCTGGCTTGGAGTCACCCAGGTAAGACTCCTGACCAGAACCTGCCTCTGGCACCCCAGTCCCTCCTTTCCCCAACTCTCTGTCCCCCAGTACACATTCCCAAAATCTCTGTCCCCCTCCTGCACCCATACCCCCTCCCAAATCCGGCACCCCAATCCCTTGCCCCAGATCACAATCCCCTTGTAACCTAGGTCACAATCCAAAAATCCTGCACCCTAATTCCCTGCCCTAGGTCAAAATGCAAACCTACACCCCGCCCCCCCCATACCCAAAGCCTCTGACCTAGGTCACAATCCCCTCCTGCCCTAAATCATAATCCAAACCCTTGCACCCCAATCCAAAGCCCCAGGTTACAACTGCCTTCTTCATCCAATCTCCATCCCAGAGCCTGCACTTCCTCCATTAATATCATGGAAAAGTGTGGTCCTTGTCCACTTTCCAAAATCTTGGAGTGTCCCCCCATTAAAAAATATTGCCCATCCTTGCTATAGAGGCTCAGGATTAGTGCATCTGTGGTCTAAGTGGGGGACTCACCACAAACTGAGAAACCAATATAAAATAAAACTCACCTGAACGAACTGAAAATTGTTTTTAATACCAGGCTGCAAGGAGTATGAAAAAAAAAACCATAATTGAGCTCTCTATATTTTTATTGATTGAACTCCTTATTATAAAGATAATGATTATCACATATCTAGAAGAGGTAAAATCTTCTAAACACATAACTGGATCCCCATCTTCAAAAGTTTAGTAGATAAGATATAAGCAAATACCCATTCTGTACTAATATGATGTGGGAAATTATACCAGAAGAGTTCATGGAATCAGTATATTTTCAGGTGTTTTTGGAATGAAATGAATGTACATTATTTGGGAAACTGTTCTAGGAATATAACATAAATCACCACAGAGTGCAGTCATCTATAATGTGCAACACAGCAGCTGTAAAAACAGCACTACTATGCCACACAGAGTATGTCTACACTTACACCCTCTTTCGAGAGAGGGATGCAAATGAAGACATTCGAAATTGCAAATGAAGCCGGGATTAAAATACCCCACGCTTCATTTGCATATTTGCATTATGGCACTATTTCGAATTAACTGAGGGTATGTCTACACTACCCCCCTAGTTCGAACTAGGGGGGGTAATGTAGTCATACGGAGTTGCAAATGAAGCCCGGGATTTGAATTTCCCGGGCTTCATTTGCATAAAGCTGGCCGGCGCCATTTTTAAATGCCGGGCGCCCTTTTTAAATGCCGGCTAGGTCGGACCCCGTGCCGCACGGCTACACGTGGCACGGGGTCCGACCTAGCCGGCATTTAAAAAGGGCGCCGGCCGGCTTTATGCAAATGAAGCCCGGGAAATTCAAATCCCGGGCTTCATTTGCAACTCCATATGACTACATTACCCCCCCCAGTTCGAACTTGGGGGGTAGTGTAGACATACCCAGACACTGTTAAGATGCGGTTATTTCGAGAGAAAACCCTTTTCTCGAAATAACAGGTAAACCTCATTGTATGAGGAATAAGGGTTATTTCGAGAGAAGGGTTTTCTCTCGAAATAACCGTGTCTTAACAGCGTCTGTTCTTTCAAAATAGAGCGAATTTTAAAATAGCTCCATAACACAAATATGCAAATGAAGCATGGGATATTTAAATCCCAGCTTCATTTGCAATTTCAAATGTCTTTATTTGCATCCCTCTCTTGAAAGAGGGTGCAAGTGTAGACATACCCATAGTGTGTTACTGTATGAAGAAAAGATACTGTAGCCAACTGCAACCATGGGGAATTCAGGGAGGCAAACTAGAATTACTTGAGATGGAATTCAGTCATTACAGGCTAATACCTGAATCATTATCGCTAATGGTTGGCAGTGATGGCAAAAGTGCATCTCAGAAGTATCCTCTATGGAGGTTCTAAGGAGATAATGCAGGCCTTGTTTCACACTTAAAGATGGGACAATAGCTGATTGATAAATTCCTAGGATGTTGCCAGTACAATACAGAAAGCAAAAGAGGAAGAACGGTGGCAGTTCTGCACAGTAACCAGCATAATCTGGGATGAGTGGCACCACTCTGAATAACAAGAATGCAACTGAATCTCCTCGTGTCCATATTTTTACTCAGTGCCTCTCTTCATCATGGCAGGGTTGGAATGATACATTTTTTTCAGGGAGGTTAAATAAAAAGGCTTCTCCTTCCAGGGCCAGGAAGCTAGGAGAGTGGAATTTGCAGGGCAGAATCCCTTGCAGAGATCATGGATGATTTCATCAACTAGCTGAGAAAAGAAACTGATCCAGAGATTTTTGTCCAAGCCCTGAATGGAACGAATCTGATAAGCGCAGTAAACACTGGTGAAGAGAAGCTGATCAAACTCTACTAGACTCAGGGGGGCATCTGCCTGTGAAAGATATTCCAGCTGCTCCTTGATCCCTTCTGGTGTCTTAGGAACCTGGTGCTGGAAGATCTGGAGCAGTCGCTTTGTTGAACGCAGAGAGGCCAGTTCCTCATCTTGCAGTCTGATTGTCTTGTTAGCCTCAATCTCTAGTCCTTCCCAGAACAACTGGAAGAGGAGGACAGTATAAGAACAAGAAGTCTAGGGCCAGTCACTTTAAATTGCGCCACATTTAACTTGGCGCCCTAGGCAACTGCTTAGTTCGCCTATATGGACAGGCCACCCTTGTTCCCCTCCCTCACCTCTCATTTCACTCACAGCAGCTTGTCTTATCATATTAGCCAAGGGTAGCCTGGCTTCTAAGTAATTCAAAATAAAAGGAGAAAGTGGCTATTTTCATTATGGGGAGAAAAAGGGAATCACGGAGAAGTTATTGCTAGGAGCCAGAGCACCTTAAAACCAGTTCATAAAATCATGAGTCATGGTAGTATCACAAGGGCTTGCAATGCTTCTTGCCCCATTTGACATATTTGGGCAGAGACTCCTCTTACCTCCCTTTCTGGGCCTGTTCCCTTTCTGCCTTCCCTAACTTGCACCTTTAAGTTCCCTATTTCTGCCTCTAGCATGCCACTTCTCTGTGTCCCACAGAGGGTGCAGACTTTCCATAGGGGAGAGCAAGAGATTAAAAAATCCTATGTCTTGTTCAGTGCTAATGAATTTCTGTTCCAAACTCAGTTACCTTTGCCAGTGCAATCACTACATTTCGGTGTGGGATATGGTTAAGCCTCTCTTCAAGCCTTCACTTGTCTAGCCCCTTATTCCTTGGATCCTTCTCTGCTTCACCTTGCATCTCCCCCACAGTGAAGCCGGGTAGCAGCTGATTCCTCCTGCCCCCTGTGCACCCAGCACTTAGCTGTTACTAGACCTGCCAGCTACACACCTCGCCGCGAGGCCGCAAGTTGTCCCGCTCGGCCTGCCCACAGCAGCGGCTTTTCCCTGGGGCATAGCCCTGGGCCCCGCTCCCGGCCGGCTCCTGCACGGGACTCAGCCCTGCCACGAGGGAGGGGGCGCACTGGACGCGCCAGTGAGAGAGGGAACAATTCCAGCGGGGCAGGGTGTCGCCTCTGTGGGAGCTGCACGGCCCCACACGTGGGGGTGGGGGAGCTGCGCAGCCCCATTCTCGGACGCGATTTCTCCTGACACGCTCGGGTTGTCCTCGCCTGCCCTCCGGCAGGGCGGAGCGCCCCGCTCCATGCGGTGGCCTCGCTGCGAGCGAGGATCCGGGATCTGAGCTGCCGCACGCCCCGCCCCCAGGGGGCTCTGCATTTCCATGCAGCCCTAGCAGGGGCCCGCCAGCCCCGCGCCTTTTGGAACCAGCACCGCTGGGAATACAGTGCCGCTCGCGGCCGCTGGGCGCCCTGCTGCTCCAGCCCGGCACGGACCTGCCGGCTGCTCTCGAGCGCGCAGCGATTCTCTTCCAGCGCGCCCGTCAACTGGAGGGTCGAGCCAAAGGCGCCACCTTGTGGAACAGGTTGTGGCGACGGGAGATTTTACTCTTGCGTCCACTTTAATAGAGAGCCAAGGGGGGTGAGATCTGTCTTTTGTTGCACCAGCTTCTGCTACTGACGGCTCTGACGAAGAGCTCTGTATGCAGTAAGAGATATTATCTTACCACCTTGTCTCTCTAGTATCTTGGGACCAACACTGGCTTCAGCAACATAGGATATTTCCTATGGTCCTTTCAAGAAGTTCCAGGCAGAACTCACCGGTAAATCTAGCCCTTCACCCTGGCACCAAGCTGGCTAACTTTTGCCCTGGCTCAGGGACCTCCTTCATATCTGCTTTCTCTGGGTTCATTTGAAAAAGTGTTCCTATTGCAGAAAGAGCTGTCCCATTCACTTATTAGCATCTTAAGTGCTAACCCACCCCCTGAAAGTGCCATAATTAATCCTTCCTTCTTCAGAGCATAAGCCAACCACTAACTCATATGTTGGGAAGGTTATTCTATAATTATCCATTGTGGGGGGTTTTCTAAAGCATTTGGCATTGGCTACCAATAGAGACAGGATGCTGGATTAGTTGGACCTCACTGGTCTCATTCACTATGGCAATGACTTGGTGGAGATGCACACTAAGGGTGAGCCTACACAGCACCCTTTCCTCAAAATAAGCTATGCAATTTGACCTACACAAATTACGTAGCTTATTTCTATGTTAATTCAAAATAAGGCGCTATTCCAAAATGCCCCTTATCTCTCATGCAATGAGGTTTACAGTGACATTGGAACAGCAAGCCTGTTATATTTTGATATAATGAGCTTGCTCTTAAGACGTGGAATAGCTATTTCAAGATACTGGAGGTATCCGGAAATATGTCCTCTGTGTAGACATATCCTAAGGCATCTTCTAGAGTCCCTGAAATAGAAAAACAACGAGAACTAGCTGAACATTTGAGTGTTTAAAGCTGGATTGGTCAGGATCGCTCCATCCACAGGAGCTCCCACACTCTCATCCTTTCCCAGAGTCCCAGAGCATAACCCAAATGACCTCTAGAATGATGTTGGCATCCTCCAGCTTGTCATAAAACACATTGTCATCAGCATGGCCTTCAGTGTGAAGTTGCCCATCTGGAAAACATTAAGAGAGCAACAGCTTAACACATACTCCCTATTGTGTCTCAGTAACCAAGTCTATCTGTCTTGGATATTTCTGATGTGTGTATTCCTGTGATATGCAAGGTTGTGAAAATACAGCATTCCCAGCCTATGTTTACACTGCATGGTTATTTCAAAATAATTTTGAAATAATGGGCTTTTTACTCCAACTTCTGTAACCTTCATTTCATGAGGAGTAAGGGAAGTTGAAGGAAGTATTCTTCCTTTGACTTCCTACTGTGTAGACAGCACCAAAAGCCAAGTTAAGCGACTTCAACTTCAGCTACACAATTAATATATCTGAAGTTGCATATCTTAACTCGACTTTAGTTTGCAGTGTAGACGTACCCCCAACATGTATAGACATGCAGCCTGATAACTCTCCTTGAGCTAGTGCTTAAAAATAACAAGATGGCTGCAGTAGCTCAGGCTAACCATCCGGGATGCCATCAGAGTCACACTGCTATTTTTAGACACTAGATTGAACAAGGATAGCATGTGTATGTCTACCTACACTGGAAATTACACCTCCCAGCTGCTGTGGAGATGTATCCTAAGTGTTAAAGAGTGAGTCTAACCATTGGATTTGGGGGAGCAGAATTGGGCTTTTATAAAGGAGATAAGCAGGTTAAAGAAACGGAAAGGAGGATTTGAGGACATTAACCCCTTATTCCTAGCAAGTATCATTCTGGCGGTGGAATATCAGAGAGCTAAAGTACCTACTTTGGCAAGTCTGTAGGAAAACCCTCATGCTGGGTTTTCTCTCTTTCCCATGTGGTCTGAGAAAGATTCTGAATTGCTCTCCTTCAGTGACTGTTTTGTAGCATCAGCCTCCAGGAATACATATTATGCAGTTACATATGAACCATTAGGATACCACCCAAATCCTGGATGGATGTCACCTGGGGCTTTGGCTCATGTCAAAGGGGTTTAAGCTGAGTGAGGTGAACACTGTATCAGGGAGTAAGAGTTTCTGGCCACTGGAAAGTAGCACTAAATTATGATTTTGTGACACAGGTCTCCTTCTTTTCTTGACCTGTACTAATGTATACTAGCTCTCTTTCTATTAGTTCCAGACTTCTCCTTCAGGCCAGGAAAGAGAAAGCAGGGTTAGGTTGGGTGGGCCAGGATTGGGAAGCGACTAGCATTAAACAGAATTTTATGCAGAAAGACAGTGCTGGGAGAAGGAATGAGAGGCTGGCTGTCTTTTTGATGAGGGGAGATCTGGTCCTCATGTGAAGCAGTTTATGTTGGGTAAACTAGCTGCAAGTACTCAGCATATTTGTCTGTGGGATCCCAAGAGTTAAAATTAGCAGGTGCACTTAATGAACAGAAATGTGATTTAATCTTTTAATTATGTGGTGCTTCTACCAAAATCAGCTTTCAACTTTCCATTCTTGAGGACAGTTCTCCATGGGAATGTTAAGAGCTGTTTAGAAATGGATACTGGTTTCCCTTCTGCCTGAGGGAAGGTTCATTTCTTTACACAGCTGCAGGCTCCCTGATCAAATCCAGATGTGCTTTCAGAATGTTATTTGGGATTCTAGCTGCTATTTCCATCTCCTCAGTGCACATTCCAGCAAGGCTTGTCTCAAGTAAAGAAACTGCACCCTCTGAAAGCTGCTTTTCTGGACTTCTGCTAGTGGCTACCTGACTGCCATTCCACCTTCTGACTACAGCTAAGTTTGCAGATGTCTTTACTGGGGAACATCCAGCCAGCTGCAGGGTTTTAATAAACTAACAGAATAATCCTCAAATTACTCCTACTAATATTTTTAAATTCCATTCTCTGTGACAGTGTATAAGTTGAGTAAAACATAAGAAATATTTGAAAATAATTGTCCCAACTTTCTTCAGAAGTAGAAGCTGTTCTCATAGGGCTTCCTTCACAATCTTTCCTCATCAATAGCTTAGTAAAGACACATGGAAAAGCTTTCTCCAGTGGGGACTGAAGGAGTCTTGCCTCCTGTCTTGAAGAGTGGTGGTAGATCTGCCTTACAAGAACAGACAGTGGGTCTCTCACATAGGGGACATATGAGCACTGCATAGGAAATAATTCAGCAAGCGACCTTCTGTAAGTGTCAACAAAGACTGTAAAGGCATAAAAGGCATTTGGGGGGGGACAAATAAGTACTATATGTCAGGAGTAGATCCCTCTCAATTTTCCCAGAGACAAACTCTGCAATCCCTCTTCCCTCTGACAGAATAGAGTCCAGCACTGAGAGCAAATGATTTGTGCTCTATCACAGAAAGTTGTTTTTGTCAATTTAGCCAACCCTCTGGCCTATTTGGGATTTAGGTAAAACCCATCACCCATGCACATTTGCTTTGCAGAGCAGCCTCCTCCCTTGCAGGTGCATCTCCTACCTGTCTGCCTCCATGGTCCAGCAAACACACAGAGGACCAGAGCAATCCACATCCAGGTTCTGAGCTGCAGCTGGAGCATGGGTGCCATGCCCGGTAAAGGTCCCCACCACTGATTCTGTAGATAAATATCTTGGGTGAAGTGAGAGCTGTTTACTGTGGCTTCTCTCCTCCTTTTCTCTAATCCCAGCAGCCTCCGCTGAAATGGATCCTCCCTTCTCTCTGATTCCAGTCCAGGGAAGGGCCTGCTGTTGAATTGTCTGTTCCCAAAGACTATTTTCCATTACAATCTGGAAACTTTAAGACTTTGTTGTTTAGTTGTTGGAAGAATTCTGATTTTTCCACCTAAGTATTTTAATGGGAAATTTCTAATTCCAAGAGATTTTCCATTTAAACATGTAACAAACAGTTTAATCTAATTTCCCTGTGAAGTGTGAATATCCTCATCCTCCCCACACCAGAATGCTTTTTCTCAGCTGCCTGGCTTCCTTTTACATGTTCTGCTTATTAAGTTTGGAATTTTGAAAACAATCTTGAAATGTCACAGCAGGCTGGGGTTGGCAGCCTCTATAGGCACCACAGCAGGACAACAGCATCCAAGATATTCAGTCTGACAAAGGAAAGGTGAATTCTTTCAACTGTAGAAAACCTCCTGAAGGGAATGTTTAGTACAATGATCTGTCAAACGACAAAGACAAAAGCCAGTTAGCTTACTTCCCACTTGTGTGACTGACTTCTGCATCACAATAAACAAGACTAGCTTTCAGTTTTGTAGTTATATGTACAAATTCACACCTATGTCCCTCCAGAGCTATTACTAGGTCTCTACCCCTGTGCATCCCAGACAGCCCCCTCTCCTCATTTACAGTCCGACTCAGGCTGAAGTTCTGTGACCTCTGGAAAAAAACCTCTCCACTAGGCTAGGAAGACAGGTGGTGAAACTGAAGCTTATACCTTTCTTAGCAGGAAGACAGAGGATTCCACTGTGCTGCCTCCAGAATTAAGAAGACTATTGTAATGACACTCAGAATTAGTGTTCTAGTAGGTAATTGAATCTGAGGATATAGAATAGGGCCTTAAGCAGCTGCATGGTCCTAAATCTGCCACTGACAATGAATATGGTTGCAAAGCTACAAAGGTAAATACCAGCCTATGGGAGAGGTATTTGTGATCCACAAAAAAGTCTAGTGGCTTAGGAAATGGGAGGCTTAGAATGTCTCTCCTGAAGGAACTGTTTTTGCCTACAGTTTGGCTAGAAAAAAACACTGTATTTTTATAATAGCCATGGATTTCTCAAGTCAGGCTACTCTTCCTCACTTCAGCTCCAGTTACTCCTCATTTAACTCTTTAATCTAGGATGGGATCTCTGTCTTTTTTGGCAGAATGAACATTATAGTAGAGACAATCTTGTGCACACCTCCCACACTCTTGTTTGCCATTACATCCTTTGCTTGCAATAACTACAGCAGTCGCTGGCATATAGAATCAGTGTTGGGAAAATATTTAGGCGATTTTAATGCAATTTAGTAGGGACGGGAACGGGGAATTGGCAGTATATGACTAAGCAGTGCCCCGTGGCGCATGAGCAAATTCTCCAACTACTGGTTTGAGAACTACTGCTACAGGAAGGTATTTAGTTATAGTTTACATTTTTTTCTTTATTGTGTTCAAGACAGAAGCTTAGGTGAAGCTAAAAGCATTCTCTGGTTGCCCTTCTGCACAAGTTAGAGTTGAACAAATTCCTGCACAGTATCTTGCTGTGAAGAAGGTGTCAGGATCAGTAGCAATTCCAAAGCATTTCAAACTAAGCTGCTATGAGGAAAATTGTCCTGTTCCTCCCATGGGATCTACCAATGCCTACTAGATACAGTGGAGCTTTGAAGACACTGAGCCCCAGACAATATAGGGTTCATGCTCTCCAGTGGAGGAAACATATACATTTCCCACAGAACTTGAAATACTTCAGGGCAAAAAATCCACCTTATTGCTCCAACCAATATTATGTCATGGCTCCTCTCCCTTATTGTTACATAGTACTCCTTCCAGCTCCACCAGCACTTTAGTCACTAGTCTGAGCAACATAATGGGAGGCCTTGTAGTCTCTAAAGATAGCATTGGATGAGTTCCAAAGCTGCAGCTGCAAGCATGTCTTTATGTTGTTACAACCCCTCAACGTTCTCTCACCAGAATGGATTTAGCCCTAGTTTTCTTAGTAAATACTCTGGATAGTCAAAAGCTTTTCCTTAAGCCAAGTTATGTGCTCTGACTCCATTAGGATACCTGTTTGGACTCTACTGCAATTTTCCATTAGCAGTCCTAGCATTAGGTCTTAGCTTGACAGGGCCTTGAACTTCTTACCTATCACACTGAAGCTCCCCACTTCCATTTATGCAAGAGTTTTCTGTTTCAGTGACCACCCCACATTTTTCTGGCTTAACACAGTAGCTTTTTGATGTTACATGTGCCACGATTGATGGTATTATGCTCCAAGCAACTTTGAGGGATTGCTAAGTGCTATCTGCAATAATGGATAAACTGCCAAAGACTACTAGCGCAAGAGATACTTTCCCATAGCTTTGTATATTCCCAGCATAAAACACCAGTCGTGTCATGTTTCTAACAGTGGCCAAAAGAATATTTTCTACTTAATCAGCTCACACAGAGGGATGTGTAGGCTCAAAGCAAATCTGGGCATTGTATAAAACCTAGAAAGCCTATTGACTGCTGCCATTACTGCTTCCTCTTCACAAGAAGAGCCATAACTTTTCATGACTATACTGAAAGCAACTGCCCTTCACTAGAAGATAACTAAGCCAAGTTCCAAATACAGGGATTTGCAGCAGCCTAAAAAAGGCCAACCCAAACCAATGCTCACACACACATAGGCTATGTCTAGACTACATGGCTCCATGGCTCTAGTTTACCCAGCACAGGCAAAGAAGTGGGGATTTAAATAATCATTAAAATAAACATGGCCCCCGCACTGTGCCAACACTCAGCTGATCCGGCACAGCACGGCAGTCTAGATGCGGATCTGTTGGCTGGGGAAGCCTTTGCCGACCAATCCCTTATGCCTCGTGAAAAAAGGCTCCTGGGAGCTAGCAGACTGCTCTTGGAGAGCTGTGGAGGACTGGCTGCCAGTGGCTTGCTGGCTCATGTTTTGGGGCCACTGGGTCAGGGGAGTGGAGTGGAGTGTTCTTGGTTGAGGCTGGAGTGGCCACCAGGGTACCCTGGGAAGGCTAGAGGCCCCCTATTTCAAAATAAGTGTCTACACAGCACTTATTTCGAAATAGCTATTTTGAATTTGGCGTTATTCCTCATAGAATGAGGTTTACCAAATTCTAAATAAGCACTCCGCTATTTAGGGTATGTCTACAGAGCAAATTTATTTTGAAATAGCAGTTTGGCTGTGTAGATGCTAGTAAAGTTATTTCGAAATAAGGGCTGTTATTTCAAAATAATTTTGCTGTGTAGACATACCCTAAGCAACCCGTTCTCTTCATTAATTCCCACTTCCCCCAACCTGTAGGTCACCTGCAAACTCCATCAGTGATGACTTTATGTTTTCTTCTAGGGCACAGATAAAAATGTTAAATAGCATACACCCAAGAACTGAGCTCTGCAAGCCTCTCCCCCTGCCATGACAACAACATCTGCTTTGACCACAGTGCAGATCTCTAACAAGCAAAACCCAGGCCTGTCTCAAGTCTGTGCATGTAAGCATGCAGGCAAGGCTGGGGGAAGTTTTGAGAGGCAGGAATGTTTTACATAATAATACAGATTAAGCAGTACAGCGAGACTACGTCAAGAACAAATGACAATCAAGCTTGTACTGGTACTTCTATTTCTGATAAGCCAAAAATTCCAGATACAGCCATAAAAACTGTTAACCTCACAAATCGTTTTGCAACATTCTGAGTAGCAGGATGTACCCCAAATAAGGACAATGGATATTTTAGGTATCTTACACAATACGTAATCAATTGGTAAATATTATTAAAATGACCAAGTCTCGCTTTGCTATAAAATGGGCTTAGTATGAAGAATCGATAGGAGTGAATAGGATTGATCCACAGGTCCTGCTCCTTGTAACTAGAAGTAAATAGACCCTTCATGCTGGCTACAGCAGTGCACAACGTCCCGACGGGTGGGAATCAAAGGGATCATGACCTCCTGCCTGGTACTGTAGACAGCATACGGGTGAAATGTATGTCAACTAGGCTTAATTATTGTATTATAATCTTCTATTAATTGCTTTTGCATTGTTCTGTGCTGTACCAATTGCTTTAGAATTTATAGTATTTAAGGTTTTAGTTATATAGTAATTGTAAGGCTTGTAAAACTTAAACAACTATATTAACTGCTTAAAGCTTGCAATAAATAAGAAAGTGGTTAAGTCTCTCTGAAGTGTCCTCGTTTCCCTCGGATTTAAAATAAATTGACAACTTGCCAAGTCCCTATTTGTAGTTATATAATGAGTCCTGTCAATTAGCCAGTTTTTAGTCCATTTAATGTATGTTTTTTATCTGTTTTTTTATTCAAAATGTTTAATCAAATGTTTCCTTGTAAAAGGGTTAAAATTCTGGCCACACCAGTTAATTAAAAAGAAAGAGGTCAGATGAGTCCTTCATTATCTGCTCTCCTTTTCCTCCCTATTCTCTAGTCCCTTCCCTGGTTCTTGTTCATAGGAGCCCCACACCCAGTTTATGATTGGTTTCCTGTTAGTGATTTTACATTATATCGTTAATGGAAGGCTTAAACACCACCCTGTGTTTTTCAGCCAATTAGAAAACTACATTTTCCATTCATGAGTTCACAGACAGGGGTCTCATATCAAGTTTTATTCATATAAATATTAAGGTAGAACAGAAACATCTGTGATATACAGGAAGTTCTCAGCATTCTCTCTGTCCTGCTGTTATTTTGCATCTCCTTTCTTGTCTCCTGCTTCTATTTTCAGGGTCTCTGGAGCAGCACGATAGGCAGGAAATGTCTCCCAGGGGCTATTTAGATCAAATTTCCGGAACTCCTGAGCCAGCTCCACGGGCTCTGCCACTACCCGTTTCACCTCATCGTCATACCGCACCTGCAATAGGGCAAAAAAAGCTGGTCACCATTAATTGTTCACAGTTGCCACTAAACAGTTTCTTCTGTTAGCCAAATACAAAAAACGCTCACTCAATTTTTTTAAAGTTCAAAGCTGACAAGACACATGTGTCAGCTGACGGTCTGGCTACAACATGGCATAAAGAGAATCAGGCAAAGCGCAGGTGTGTTCTAGCCACATCTGTGACACACATCAAGCATGACCCAATGCTATTCCAGTCCTGTTTTCCCAGCCTCAGCACAACAATGGTCCTTTGGTCCTTCCCTACAGCTCCCTCTGCTGTTCCAGTTCTGGTCTGCCTCTCAAAACAGAGTTAATGCACCTAATCCTGACTTGCAGTTCCTTCTTTTCTAGTCCCCAGATTCTCCTAAACAGATTTTCAATTATGCAAATGCTTTGTGATACAGTCATGCGGGACTAGGTGGAGACCAAACAAATTATTTGTGTTTTAACCTACATAAAAATCTATGCTAGAGAAATGGGATGCATTAAGAGAGCCTAGGCATATAAAGGTGATGGCTTTGTAGACTTGCCTTTGGGTTTGAAACACATTTGCTTCCTGGAAACAGAGATTCCCAAAGGATCCGCTCAATCATTTAACCTGCTAGGGGAGTTCAACTAAATCTCCAGCAATTCAGTAGGAATGAGTAGATCTTTTAAATAGGGCACTAAAAGTAGGTAGTACTGTTTTCTTTGCTTGGAAAGCAAAACTTTTTGCTGCTCTTGTGCAAGAAGAAAGATTTGCACTATCTCTCTGGCCCAAAACTCCCCTGTCGTGCAGGGTGCTGTGCACAGTGCTATGCATGGGCTAAATTCCAGGAGGAACCTGTATAGTACCTGAAAGGCACTTAGAAAATGTAAATTATCATTAAGCAAATTTTCCATAATTCTGTAACAGTGATGGCTCAGCTCTGAAGTGTAGACATACAGGTTTTCGGAATGCAGAATGAACCAGAATTCTTCATACCTCTACATATCCAGAGAGTGGAAAGTCCTTCCGGAAGGGATGGCCCTCAAACCCATAGTCTGTTAGGATTCGCCTCAGGTCAGGATGGTTGGCAAAGAAGACTCCATACATGTCCCAAACCTAAAAGAAAGGAAACCAAACAAGCCACATAACCCCACCATAGAAAAACTCCTCAGTGTACCTCAAAAATTTAAAACTGCCATACCTCAGCTAAAAGGGGCCAACCCAATACTGAAAATCTCTTCCCAATAAGGCCTGCTCAGGATACTATGGGTGGAAGTGCTTTTAAGACTCCGTTTTCCAAACTCATTCTAGAAAGAAGCCACCCTCTACATATACTGTACCAACAATGTGTAGGCTGAATGCCTGGCCAGTTTAGTGGCTGAGCAATTGATCGTGGCACTACTCCTAGATATCAAGGTCAGAAGGGATGACTGTGATCATCTAGTCTGACCTGCTTTAGTTGGTTAACCAGTTAAACGTTGGGTCAAGCTAATGTTTAACCAAGGATTTTACATACCTATTAAATAATTGCCTGATTTTTTCCCATCTCTGTGCTAGGTCCCCTGCAGGGCTGGAGCATCTCCGTGCCCACAACAGGAAAGGAGCTGGTCCAGTCCCCACTGGTTACTTGTTAACAGGAGCTGATAAGTATTACCCATTTAGAGTGATGCTTACCCGTTAACCGAATAACCAGTTAACCTTTTGCATCCCTATTATTTAATGACAGTAAATGTTGAGATTCAAAAGAAAGTTTTACCATTGTTAAAACAAAAATTGTCAACATCACACATCAAAACACAGAAAGCAAATATCCTTAAAAAAAAACAAAACACAATCTGAAAACTTGTCATCAGTGGAAATTCTTTTCCCCTACCAGTCTGTATGTAGCAAAATTGACGTTTCTAACATTTACCAATAAAAATCTAATCGTTCCAAGCCTATGCAAAACACATGCCTTAAAACCTCCCACAAAAGAATCCTATTTAAAAAAAAATTCTTGATTTAAAAATTACCAGTTAAGGAAATAAGATTGAAAATAAGATGCAAATTGTTAACACCTTTAGAGCAGTGGTTTTCCAAACTACGGGTCATGACCCAATGCTGGGTCGTGGAATGTTAGGCACTGGGTCTTGTTGCTGCAGGAGGATCAGGTGGGGCCCAGTGGGGTGCTAAGGCAGGCTACTTGCCTGCCCTGGCACCACAGACTGTGCTGCGCCTCAGAAGTGGCCAGCAACAAGCCCGACTTGTGGAGGGGAAAAGGAGTGCACAGAGCTCTGCACACTGTCCCTGCTCTGAGCACTAGCTCTGCATTCTCATTGGCTGGGAACATGCTACTGGCCGCTTCTGGGGCTCAGCATGATCTGCAGTGCCACGGGAGGTCGGAAGCCTTCCTTAGCACTCCGGCTGCACTGCTGACCAGGAGCTGCTCAAGGAAAGCCCCTCCTGCCCCAGCCCTGACACTGCCAAGCCAGAGCCCCCTTATACAGCCCAATGCTCTCATCCTCAGTCTCACTCTGGAGCCCACACTCTAGTCAAATTATGTTGGGTCACGGGCATCAACCATTTTTTTCAAATGGGTCATGAGAAAAAATGGTTTGAAAACTACTGACCTAGAGGCATTAACCACTGAAAGAACCACCCTCCTTGCTAAACCCTAGAGTAAGTGTTCCCTCTTAGCTCCCTGCTGAGGACAGAGCAGTGAGTCTCTCCCAGCCAGTAGGGAGGAGTCTGTCCTTACAGGCTGAGAGACTTGCTGCTCTGTCCTCAATAGGAAGCTACTGCTGTAACAGAGGGAGAAGTGCCCCTCCTCCAGCCAGGCAGCTCCGTGTGCGAGTCCTGAGCACCTGCCTGTGCAGGGCTCATTA